ACTATAGGCAGTTGGGTGGTTTTAGACAAGTTAACCTTGCTTGTTGATCATTAATCCATGTGTACTAGCAAAGGGGATAAAGGAAGATAACAGATAACACTTACTGCAAAAAATCCAATCTCTAGACTTCTGATGGGGAATAGGAATCTCTTGGCATGTTAATGTTTGAAGAGCAATCAGGCAATTCTTTGATTGATTGATTGATTGATTGATTGATTGATTGATTGATTGAGGATGGAGGATGAAGAAATAGAGAGTAGACAGAGTAAGTACCTAAGTCCTAAGTCCAGTCCAGAGTTCAAGTGACACCAAATTCTAGGCAAACAGTTCAGAAGGCAGGCCAGTTGTCAAATCCAAACAAAGGTCACCACAAAAGCAGAGGTGATACAGAAACAAGAGGCTACGAAAGTTGTTCCAGCATTTGAATGATTTCAGGCAGAAGCTTAAATATTGGAAACTCCTGACACCCCATCCAAGAACTGCTAGTGCTGATTATTGGTATAGTAGTTGCTGAATATGGTCTACTCAGGAGCAATAGACTCCCACCACACAGGAATTTTCCAAGTAATCTAGTACTCCTCCTCTTCTCCGTCCTTGAAGTCTTATGCAGCAGCAATGCACTCACACAAGTTGCATGTCCATATCTATATGAGGGTCACAATCCATGTATGCAGAATCAGTAATTGTAGGATGTGGTTCTGCTGTGCCAAGTCTGTCCAGTGCCAGATGAGCCTATCTAGTGTTTCATCTATTCATTGCTATTCTCCCTTGGATGAATATCCATCTGGGAAGACCATGACACCGAGCTTCTTCTTTCCAGGGAACTGGAACCATTGCTAAACACTGGCATGCTGAAACTTCCCACTGCTCAGCAGTGAGGTGCATATATTAGCAATCTGATCATCATGCAGGTTACAATGACTGTATAGGCATCTGATTCTAATTGGAATGACCCTCCCCCGCTCCCCAAAAAATGAAACATGCATGACGATGTCACAATGCAAATCCTGCCTTTTTGTGTCCTGATGTCAGACACAAATGCATAGTAAATCAAAGGGATGTGGTTTGTCATTACAACACATGTTTTGTCAGTTGTTTCTCTTTCCTCCCCACTTCAGATGCCTATAACTGATTGGCTCTTCTGTAAAGAGTGTATGGGTAACACTTCTTGTTATGCAGATAGAAATATTATCCTAAAGGATTATAGAAGCAAGTTCAGCTCTCATGCATATTCCTTAGAAGATCTCAACTAAAAGTTAGTAAAGCAGTGCTTGAAAACTGCATGTGACCCCTTGTCAGCCTTTTAAGGTAGATCAGACTATGAATCCAATGTCATGTAGGTCAGTACTACCTTTACTGTAAAGCTATAGTAATAGAAACTTGCAAGTCTGAATGCACTTCCCCCCTCCCTCCCTTTAACTTCGTGAGAACTAGGGAGGGTAAGAACTAGGGAGGGTCTTGTCTGAGATGTTTACTCAGGGTACATTCCTGCCCTGGACTCAGTCCTCTTTTATCTGACCACTGTCTTGGTAGCTGCTCTTCTTTCTGTCCCTCAGGGCCATTCCCTCTTTCCTCTACATCTCTAAGCACTCCTTTTGTGACCCATTCCTAATTCCCAGGCTGGATGCCAAATATTGAAATTTGCAAAGGCTTCAGATGTACTAATCTCCCTCTAATTTCAAAAAATTCAGGCCAGTTTTTTCCATGTTTTAAGGTTTTTGTAGTGCGCAAAATTGTTACACAATAAGTTTAGGTATACTTCCATTTAATTGACCTTAACTGCCTGTACAGGCTGACATGCAATCTTGCCCTGCAAGATTCTTAGAGAAATATATTGACCAACCCAGCACAGGACACTTAAGTTTAATACAACTCAGCTTTATAACGTACAAGGAAGCCTTTTCTTAGACACATCCATGTTTTTGTTTGTGGTATCTCCTTTCAGTTGGCTAGAACTTTCCTACCAATCCTTATTTTCAGCTTGCCAGCTGACCACATTTCTTGACATATTTCCTTTATTTGCAGCTTCATGAACTCTCCCTTGCTCATTCTTCTACCTTGGCAAATTTTCCCACATTCATGAACATTTAAGTTGCAGCCAACAAATATAGATATTATGGCAATCATGGTCAGGGAGTATCTGTGATCATAGAAATTGGAATAAGCCCAAGAGCAATATAAGCACTAATATATATTGTAGAAAGATTCACCTCAGTTTTAAGAGATAAGATTGATCCTTAAAGACTTTGCAAGGTTTAAGGCATTTATTTTGCCACTTAACCCCACCGCCTAACACCAGCAACAATGAAACAAAATCCACATCTTTTAGCCCCATCCAATGTCATGATATCACCAGCCACATTTTCTGAGGAGGCCCCCAATTTGTTCTGAAAGTACAGCTGGTGCAGTCCCCAAGTACAGGTCCATTGTCCTCCTTTGACCTGAACAGGTCCTTAAAGATCTCTCCAATCTCAGAATAGATGTGGGTGGAAATTGTTTCACAAACAATGATGATAATTTAGATTATCAAGCAACCGTGCCCAGGTCTAGCACCATGTTTGCTGGAAATTCTGGGTGTTGCAGTCCCAGCATATCTGAAGGGTATCTGAAGACATTGGGAAAGTCTGGCCCTGATGATCCCAGATAGAGATATCAGGCCACCTTCTTTGGCTTTTGGAAATTTTAGTATGTAATTTTCATGCACTTTCAACCTCAGTCTTCACAATAATCTGATCTCGCTGCTAGCCTTTTTAAATTATGCAAAATGAAAATTTCCTAGAATTCTATATTCAGGACCAAATTAATAATTTGTTTGGAATTATGCTGTCTGACAGTAGTCCCTTAAGAGTGAAGGAGAGGTTCTTGATAGAAAGGGACCCCTGGGCTTAACCAGCAGTTGGTTTAGCATGAGTTGGTACTAAATCCTTGGCTACTCTTGAAATCCGCCACAATATTATTTTTGCAGTAAATGGCAGCACTGGACCAACCTTCTCTGGTCTTGGAAGCTAAGCAGGATCTATTCTGTTTAATATTTGGATGGGAGACCATCTAAAAGTTCTAGGGCTATAGGCTAGACTGAGAAGTGGAAACCAATCCCAGAAGAAAGGAATAATAAAAACAAAAGGATGTCAAAACAAAAAGGATAACACTTCTGTATAGTACTGTTGTAAGGAAACAACATGGATATGTCTGCAAAGTCAGCAGGAATAAAATTCAACTTGAAGGGGACTTCTTTAAAAGGAATCTGGCATTATCAAGACTACAGAAGTGGTATTTTAACCAGTCCCCTATTACACTTTCTATGTGTTTTGGTATAACTAGACCCGTTACAGTCATGTCTGCACAACAAAAAAAATTAGGATGGTGGCCCCACTCATACAGTTGAGGCCCATCTCTTTGTACCAGTATGGGACGCCAACACACCTACAAAAGGGACAGAACTTTGATCATGCAGACACAGCCACCATCTTGACTTTTTGATTCTCTTCACCCTCTATAGATGCTTCTGAGGCTTCTTATCTGCCTTTTTCTATGTGTTTCTAGCAGTTCCTGTTTGTCTGTAGCTTAACTCTATAGAAACAGGAATTGGGATCTCCTGGGCCAACACCTTGCTTTTCCATCTGTAGGCAGTATCTGCTGAAACTAGTTTCCATTCAGAGGAGTTTTCCTCAAAGGAGTTTCATATTCATACTGATATAGGAAGAAACCCAGCTTGGAAAATCCCTAAAAGGATGGTGGATTAGATACAACCCCAACCCCCAGGAGATACAAGAAACCACAGGAGTTACAAGAACTACCTTGGGACAGGAAGGAGTTTAGCTCTTTGGAGGCTGACAGCCCTAACCATTCTGTTCTGATGATTTGGCCTTATCCACAGAAATGTCTTCATTCTATGCCTGCAAAAGTCTGTCCTGCCCTGAAAGCACATGTATAAGGCAGGTTTCTCAACCTTGGCAACTTTAAGATGCATGGACTTCAACTCCCATGCTGGTTGGGGAATTCTGGGAGTTGAAATCCATGCATCTTAAAGTTGCCGAGGTTGAGAAACTCTGGTATAAGGTTTAGATAGAACAGAAGATCATGATTTTAGTGAGTAGAGTTTTAATAAAACATAATTTGTATTGCATTTACTTGTATCCGTGTACTTTTTTGGGAATATTTGAGGCCAGCCAATATATTTATTGATGACTAAGCAGGTATAATTTTTGTATTTGTATCTGATTTTTCTTCAAGTTAAATAAAAGCATTGAGGAAGTCTCCAGAACTTGTCAAGCCTAAGGGAATATTTATTTTTTGGCTTAGGGGAATATTTACTTATTTATAGGGGATTATTTCTGTCACGTTGTAATTGACATTGGTTTTCTATTTGAACATCATGGAAAGTAAAAAAAATTGCTAGACTCAGGAGTCAGTAAAACAAGATACTCTATTTGTTCTGGATCAAGTTACGGGCAAGAACCACAGGAAGAAGAAAATTTTAAAAAAATGAATACTTATGGGTTCTGCTCATATAGCTAGTGCCATTTTGAATGACTGACTACAGTTTAATGCTCCTAAGTTAATCTTTCACTATGAGCGAGTGAAAAAGAGTTTTGTTTTTTGTTTTTTCTTAATCAGGACTGGGAAGCAGCTGTGGAGAAAGTGCGGAGGCAAAATTAGTTTGGAGAAATGGGACACTGAAAGAATGGACATTGTAGGAAAAGAGCAGTGTTGGTCTATGGTAGCCCAAAAATAACAAGCAGGCTGGTAGCCCCTTTTATGACTAACACATTTTGTTAAAAGGCATAAACTTTCGTGAACTGCAGCACATTTCATCAGATGCAACAAAGAATGGAGGATTTGAGGATTCACTCAGACCCAGGAAGCTTGTGAAAAATGTAACTTGAGAAAGTTGAAGCCGCTGGTCTGGAATAGAAGAGACGATGGCAGGAGAGAACTGGAGAAGGAGGTAAGGATTATGGATACGGGGCGTGTGTGTCCCTGTGTGCACGTTTTATGTGTGCACACAGTGGAGAGATAGTAGACTTTTGAGTAAATATAGCAGATATCTTGAGACTTAAAAAGGGGAAAGGAATACAAAGAATGTGATGGTTCAGATTCTCTGGGTAAGGATCCATGGAAAGCATGGTTAGATTCTGACACATGGACTGACACATCCAAAACACCCAGTTACTTCCCCAGCCTTGATGACCTTCTCCTCTCCTTCAGAACTGAACTCCTCTTTCCCCGTGACATCACCTGGGTGGAACCTACAAGACGCAACTCCTCCAGTTCCGCAATTGAGCAGACAAGCTATGATAGTACCATCAGCCCAATGACAAGGAACAGGGAGTGGTGGCAAGGAAGAGAAAGAGAAAAAAGCCAAGTTTTGCTTGAAGTCATTTTGGTGAAAGATAAAGGCAAGGTCATGGCAGTAGAGAAGGCCAGGAGAGTCTGGACAAGAAGGCCAAGGAGGCACATTGCCCATGGCACCCTCTGACGAATAAGCCAAGGCTTGCTCCTAGGGTGAAAAATTGCAATGTTTATTTTCTTTTTACTCTCCTCCAAAATAAGAGCAGCTCCAAAAAGAACTTTATAGTCCAGTAATCTTTTTCTATAGCAGCCAGCCAGATGATTTCAAGCAGAACATTAAGGTAAGAGGCATTGCTGATTTACTAACTGGGATACTGAGAGATATATGCTGTTCTTTGTGTAATACATATTTTTAGAGTTACTTCCCATGGGTGCTGCAACTTATGTCAGTAATGAAAAATAAGCTACTCTATGTAAGGTTGTGCATTTAGGGAGGAGAAACAAGAGCCATGTATAAGGCAGGTGATACCTGGCTTAGCAATAGTACTTGTGAGAAGGATCTGGATGTCTTGGTAGAGCACAGATGAAGCATGAGCCGGCAATGTGCCACTGCTGCCACAACAGCCAATGCAGTTTTGGGCTACATCAATAAAGGTATAGTGTCAGGATCATGGGAAATGATATTACCGCTCTGTGCTGCATTGATCTGACCACACCTGGAATACTGTGTCCAGTTCTGGTCACCAGGATGCAGAAAGAATGCTGAAGAATAGGAAAGAATGCAGAGAAGGATGATGAAGATGGTAAAAGGCTTGGAGGCTAAATCCTATGAAAGAACAGGTATGTTAGGCTAAAGAAGGAAAGGTGAAGGGGAGACATGATAGCAGTCTTCCAGTACTAGAAGGGATGTCACCAGGAAGAGGCTGTAAATCCTCTGTTCTTTGTTGCATCTGATAAAATGAGCTGAAGCTCACAAAAGCGTATGCCTTTTAACAAAATGTGTTAGTCATAACAGGGGCTACCAATCTGCCTGTTATTTTTTGGTTACCTTAGACCAACACTGCTCTTTTCCTACAATGTCCATTCTTTCAGTGTTCATTCTCCAGAAGATTAGAGGGTAGGACAGGAACCAGTGAGTGGAAGCTTTACAGCGAGGGATGCAAACTTGAAATAATGAGGAATTTCCTGACTGTGAGGGCTATTAAGCAATGGAAGAGTTTGTCTCCTGAAGTCATGGGTGCTCTGTCACTGGAAGTTTTCAAGAAAAGATTGGACAGCCATTCATCAGGGATGATCTGACAATTCCTGTGCTGGGCAGCAGTCGGACTAGAAAATCTCCGAGGTCTCTTCCACCCTCTGATTCTATGCACAGTCTATTCTGCAATCACCCTTCCCCATCTGCTGTGAAAACCTTCTTAAAAATATAATGGTACTTTTACTGCGCAATTGTCTTGCCACACACAGGGAATTTCACGTACGCAAAAATCTGAAGAACCTGCAAGGTGAAGGAAGCAGTTTTAAGCCATACAGTCCTGCTTTTGGAAGACTACCATCTTCCAGATGCCCTGGCATTGCATTCATGCCAACCCTTTCTTTTTGGCAATTGGCTTTCAGCTGTGATGGTCTGACAAAACTCAGGGTTCTGTTGGAGAAATAGCTGGCCACAAATTTGGATGCTCATATAGAAAGATTAGACAAAATTGCAGCAGAAAAAAAAAACTAGTAAAGAATGTGTGTGCATATGTGTTTCTGGGTGTGTGTGTTTTAATAATCAAATAGATCATAATGCTAGTGCCAAAACTAAAAATAACTGCAACTTAGAAATCAATTGTAATAACAGTAAATTTGGAGTAATATTTATTTAATACTCTTTCTCTGACTACATTCAACTCATATGTTTGTAAACAGAATTTAGATTTCCTGCTTTGGCAGGAAGTGAGATTCCTTATACTTTTCTAATTCTGCAAAGGAGACGCTGTAGAAGAGAGCCATGATGGTCTATGGTATCCATCCTTGGTTATAAGCCAATTTATTTATAAATTTGATAAAATAAATTAATTAAGAAATCCAAAAATCAGAAGGAGACTGGTAGTGCCATTTCCAGCTAACAAACTGCATTAAAAGCTTATGCCTGGTAATAAAATTCATTAGTTTGAAAAGGAGTTATCAGATTCCTTTTGACTGCTGATTCTATAAAATAAATATTATAAAAGGCCTTGGTGTCCTCATTTCCCTTCATGGAACTCAGTGACACAATCTGACATCTGATACTAGCCACAAGATGTTACTTACCTCATTTTATAACACTCACTAATATGAGTCATAGGCAATTCCCAGCCAAGCACAAACCAGTTGCAGAGTTGCTTTCATGACATTATGCGCTTTCAGCTCTCTAACTGGATATAGGTTAATGCTGGGTTCACAGCTTGTGCTAAGCCATCATGTTTTGGGTGAAGGAGTTGTGAAAATTTAGCCGTGGTAGCTTATCAACCACGGTGTATGGCAGGTGTGGGCAACCCATGGCTGATGTACCACGTGAACCCCTCACACTGCAAGAATACATACTCCAAATTCAGTGGTAACTGGCAATGTTTGACAAAATGAGTTTTTTTTCTTTGAAAAAGTAAGAGTGAAAATGGAAGTGAATGGTAAATCAATCCCTTTTCCACCTTAAAAAAAACAAACTCAACCTTCTGAACCAGCCCAAGCTTCAAATCATGCTGATGAAATTTGACCATCTTACTGCCAAATTTGGCAATAACTTTGGGACTATTGGGGGGAAGGAGGCTGGAGGATTTGTCAATATGGAAAAGGGTGTAGTTTGCCATCCAGAAGCTTCCCTTTCCCATTCTCACTCTTAAATACCCAGAAAATGCCCCAAACAGGCCGGAAAATATCAGCCCCACCCCTTTGTACAGACACCCTCAACAGCTGGGCTGCTGCTTGGATGAGCCAATTACAATTCTTGAATCTGGAAATGTTGCCCATCTCTGATCTATGTCTTAGCAATCTGTATAAACCCAGCTAGTGAGGTTTATTCAATAAACCAGGGTGAAAAAGTAACAAGGCTTTAACATTGTTTTAAACATAATGTAGTTTAGTCGTGCAAGTCCATTCCATGTGTTGTTTAAGCAAACATCACATTTCAACTGATGGATATTAGGAGTAAATTCCATCAAAATCCACAGGTCTTACTTCTGAATAGATAAATATAGACTTGAACTATCATAGTCAAGAGTGTCAGTGTGTAGTCCCACCTGAGTGTTGACTCCAATTTACTTTTTCTTTAGGGTTCTCTATTTTGCAGCAATGAAACATCTAGAAAAAGGTACAGTCAGCCAATCCTCCTTCATATATATCTTCTACCTTTTTGGGTTGCTTTCTCTCTCCATATTTTTTCATCTATGTGAGAAGATCTCTATCTACCACACATCCAATTCCCCAGTAATGGAACAACTTCTACTCCAGAACATCACCCTTAATTCTAGCTTGTCCTTTGCTGGTATATGGACGGTGAACTCCATTGGGCGCCTGGGGAACCAGATGGGAGAATATGCCACCCTCTACGCCTTAGCCAAGCTCAATGGTCATAAAGCCTACATCCTTCCAGAAATGCATCAGTACTTATCGCCAATCTTCAAGATCACTTTGCCTGTGATCTCTGCTAAGAGGTTTAGGAAAATCCAGTGGAAGAAAGTTTATCTGAATGATTGGATGTCAGAGGAATATCGTCACATCCGGGGCAGATATGTCCAATTGATGGGCTACCCTTGTTCTTACACCTTTTATCATCACATCCGCCAGGAAATACTAAAGGAGTTCACCTTCCACGACCACATCAAGGAAGAGGCCAATCACTACCTCCAAGTGTTGCGGGGGGAACGCCAGAATGTGACATTTGTTGGAGTGCATGTCCGGAGAGGGGATTATGTGCGGGTAATGCCCGAAACCTGGAAAGGTGTAGTGGCTGACAAAGGTTACTTGGAGAAAGCCATGAACTACTTCAGAAAGAAATACCTCAATCCCATCTTTGTGGTGACCAGCAATGGGATGCAGTGGTGCAAGGAGAACATTAATGCCTCCAGGGGGGATGTCTACTTTGTTGGGGATGGGAAGGAATCAACTCCAGGGAAGGATTTTGCTCTCCTTGCCCATTGCAACCACACAATAATGACCATTGGGACTTTTGGCATCTGGGCTAGCTATTTAGCAGGTGGGGAGGCTGTTTACTTGGCCAATTATACCCTCCCAGACTCTCCGTTTCTCAAGATCTTCAAGCCTTCCGCAGCCTTCTTGCCTGAATGGATTGGGATCCCAGCAGACCTTTCTCCATTGCTGCCCAAATCATAAGATACCCTGAGAGGATTTGCCTGCCCACCAGGTTGGATAGAGCAGACACAGTCCAGGTCCCTTCCTTGAAATATTGCCATGGGACCTAGGAAGCATGCCTTTTCCATGGTGGCCCTACCCTGTGGAACGCCCTCCCCCCAGGCAATCTGGCAGACCCCCACTCTTTTAGCCTTCTGGAAGGCCATGAAGACCTGGCTCTTCCGCCAGACGTTGGGGTAGAGTGCAATGGCAGCTGATGGATGCTTGCTGGAGCATCCCAGGAGAATGACTGAGGTGCTGGGTTTTAGTCTTTGTTTAAATGGTTTTTATTGTTTTTGTGTGTGTTTTTTAATTGTTGTGAGCCACCCAGAGTTGCACTGTAAGATGGGCAGCCATACAAATGTTTTAAATAAATACGTTGAAGCAAACCGTTGTGACTCATGTTTAATCAGAAACTAATAAAAAAACGTATCTGGGAACTGAACCTACAAAGCACTTGTGTGAGAAAGGCTAATAGTATTCCTCATAAGTTATTCAAAGTCTAGCTTGGTTTGGCCATATCATTTTTTATCTGTTTAAATCCCCACCCCACCCTTCTCCTTGGATTTCCTTTCCCAGAAAAATGCGGAATGGAAAGAGGCACAACCAGGACCATTTTATGACTTGTGGGCGTTGTTATGCCCTTTCTTGGAAGTTCTCAAAGCCTTCACAATAAATGGAGTAAAACCCTGAAAATAAAAATGATTATGTGCCTAGATTTCCTGTAATAAAATAAGATCAAAGTTCCTTAACTATTGAGTAAAAGAAACATCATTACACTTATTCAACCAACCAGCAATATTCCAGGAAATTATTTTCAAAGAGGATTAGTCAGAGCTATATTCTGTAAATAGTGAATCTTCCACATCAGTTTAATAATCCTTCCTGGTTGACATTGAATAATTCTAGAATAATTTGTCAGCAAGTTTTGGATGGCTTTGGGATCACTTTTAAAGGCCACTAGATTGTCTGGGTTACCACCTAGTTCATTTGCCTCCAGGTATCTGATTTGTTGCCAATTTGAAACAGACTCAATATTAGATCTGCAGTATTCTGCAATCTCTTTGTTTCTCTTATTATAGCAGTGTTTCTCAACCTTGGCAACTTTAAGATGTGTAGACTTCAACTCCCAGAATTCCCCAGCAACCCATGCTGGCTGGGGAATTCTGGGAGTTGAAGTCCGCACATCTTAATGTTGCCAAGGTTGAAAAACATTGTATTATACCATTTGCTTCCATGCCAGAGTCAAACATTTCATTATTACATTTTAGTAATTTGCTTGGTTAGTTATTTTCCCTGAAGGTTTGGCTAGCTGGTCTTTAGGTTTGCAGAACTGACGCACAATTGGCTGTATTGTGTAAAAACAGGATACTGTGATAATTTTTTTATAAATAGAATCCTTGAGTTCAAATACACTGTCTGCCATTTCTATTGGTTTGAATGTAGCAATTGCTCTTGCTTTAAAATAGTTAAAAATAAGTACTCAACCTTACCAATCATATTAATAATAATTGATGGAGTTGGATGTTGGATGTTGAATCAGTTGAACGAGATGCAATTTCTGTTCCAACTGAGATAACATTCCTTTTGGTTTGGGGTCATTTATAAAAGCCAATTTATTGGTCACAGGTTTAGGATTCCAGGGTATATTAAACAACTTAGTAATGGCTTTCTTGCATTTCAAGTATTTGGGATTAACCATAGCTGGATCTTCCAGCACAAAAGGACATAAAGATTGTTTTGCATCAAGCGTAATTTGAGTTTGAGAAGCAGCTGTCTTTTGCCTCTTCTCACAAGGTTTACTTATCATTTAGTTGGGGCTTATACTGTTATTATTTTTATGATCTATGGTTAAAACTGTTTTTGCTTTCTTGCTTAGCTTCTTCTAGTATCTTTCTTTCTTTCTTTTCCTTTTTATTGTCATTAGATGCATCTATAACATTAAACAGTCTGTTAAATTGTAACTTCCCAGCCATTTTATTAGCTTTATAGTTCTTTATATTTTTTACTTTTTTTCTTCAGCTGGCCTTGTTTCAATTTAAGTGTTTTAAATAATTTCTTTGTGTCAGAGTCATTTGAGTTTGAATTTTCTTTCCTAGAACTCAGTCCTCTCTCTCTGTTATTTTTGTATCCTCAAGACAAGGTTTAGTAAACAGAAGTATGTGGGAAAATCATGGATACTGAAATCATCATTGGAATTATTTACTAGTTTTACTGTCTTGAATAAAAAGCATTGATCTATCTGATCCTTTCATACCGTACATCCATGAGTGGGACATCCCAAAGGATTTCTTTTTTTTATAAAAATTTTATTAAAGTTTACAGTTCCAAAGATAAAAAATTAACACAAAGTAAGAAAAATATAAATATAAAAAAGTAAAGGAAGAAAAATTAAAAAGTGCAGAGAAATATATGTATGTATGTTATGTATGTATGTATGGGCTAGACCCCCCCTCCCAAGTCCAGATGGGAGATTCCACAGAAGGTCGTGGAGAATAACAGGGCTAAGGGGTGAGAGGGGAATTTTTTTTTTATAAATTTTTTATAAAAAAATTTTTTAGATATAAATCTGCTT